TTTTAAAGAGAAGCTATTCTAAACATTTTTTTATAAGATGTGCTGTGGTAACAAGATGTACTGTTGCTACTCTAGTGAAATTAATCCCCAGTCATACAAGTCACATAGTGTCATGTTTATGATACAGTTTACTATCTCCTGTTCAGAAAAACCATGCAACCACAATAACATCTCCACTATAACCAATCATATAAAAATTTATTTCTTTGCTTTTCTAAGTGGTTACACCTAGTTCTGTGTGTGTATGTATATATCCAGGTAAGATGAGAACAAATACAGTACAATTCCAATGTTGGTAACATTTAATTTAAAAGAGGGCTCAATATAAAGTAGAGCAATATTATTTATTTTAGGATATTACACTGAAAACATGTCTAAGTTGCTACACAATCCTGTAGCGATTTTGACATGTTTTCTATGTAATATCCTAAAACTATATGTATGTGGCATGGCGTAATGTATTTATTTATTAAAGATATATAAATACCTTGCCCCAGTAACATGCAAAGGTTTGGTGATGCCCGGGGCCAACTCCTTGAGTGTATGCCCCTAAAATTCAAGTGGGGGGTGCAATAGGGCCTAGTACTGAGAAATGTGAGAAAGGAAGACATTTTAAGTATGTAAAACAGATGAAACATGAAATAAATATTTTATTCAAATTAAATATAAACTAAATTTTTATTTCAGTCTTTGATTGGATGTCCACCTGATAGAGATGCCTGTGACCATCATACCATTTGCCCCCTCACCTTCTGCACACTACTACTGCCTCACCCACTACTGCAGTTTCACATTTTGTATCTTCAGGCTAGTTTGCCTCATAATTCATTTGATTGAATTTATATATATATATATATATATATATATAAAGAGAGAGAGAGACAGTGCTGGTGGTAATAAAATAGTACTCAGTTTAAAATGACAGAGCTAAAAGTGTTGCATCAAAGAGTTAAGAACAAAAGGTATATTTATTATTAGTGTGTGTGTGTATTAATGTATGTGTTGAATTTACCTATTTGGGAATTTTGAAATATTCTACCAAATGCTGTTACAATTGGTAACTTTTCATTAAAGATGAATCAATTCACAAAAAGGCTTTCAATCTAGAATTGATATCTTGATAATGAATACTAAAATGCTGAACTGATAATGTGTGATTGAAACAAAAGTTCAATACAATCAGCCTTTAGTATTTGTAGGTATTGCATGTGTAGATTCAACCAATTAGATTTAAAATATTTAAACAAACATCCAGAAAATTTTTTTTAAAGTAAAATTTGAATTTGCCATATGTCAATCACTGTCCTTGAATCCATGCAAACAAAAGGATGTGTAAGCATATTTGATTTAACCTTTGGCCATTTCATAAATCCTCAGTCTATCCAACATTTACTGCTTGAACAATGTCATAGTCAGTTGATAACTGAATTACGGTCAACATTTATTTTATCTGTTTTTTTTTTTTTTTTCTGAAATTTGGAATGGAAATTTCTCTTAAAATTTATTTTACCCATTAAAATGTTAGATTTTTAGTTTGTTTTTTTTTTTTTTTTTGATCAATGTTTTTTAAAATTTTCTAGTACATAAAGATTTTTTTTTTTTTTTTTTTTTAATACTGGTAAACAATTTTTCGTACTATCATTTTTCACATATATATCTCCAGTTCAAAGTTTTGTACACAAAAATAATTTTTATATCAGAATTTTCTCCAGTCTTTCTTACTGTTAGCAGAAAGATTCTGATAATAAAATTTATCTCGTATACACTTTTTTCTTTGGTTATTGATTTTTTTTTTTTTTTCACTAGAATTATTTATTCATACCTACAGTATAACAATTATTTACACCTTATAAGGTATTATAAAAAATCTTAAGATGATTTGAGATATATGGAAAATGTGCATAGCTTATCTGCAAATACTGCACTGTTTTATATAATTGATTTGAATTCTTCTGTTGGAAATCTTGGAAACAATCTACAATGGATACAAAGGACCAACTGTATTCTTTTTAAATTTTGATATAAAACTAAGCTGCTTTGTAGTTGGTGGCAGGGAGGGGTTTTACTTTTGCATCTGAAGAGATATTTGAACAGTTTTGATAGATGTTTGCTTTGAAAGGATTATTGTAAATGACAAAATAAAAATTCTAATCTTTCTTTAAAGGTACATATCAATTGATAATTATGCTGTAACTTGTAAATGTATAACAATTTCAAAAAGTATTTCATTTAGCTGTAAAAGTCATGATCATAAGAGTAGAAATTATGGTAATGATAATATCTGAGTGGAAAAAGGACAGTTTTTGGTGGAAGAATGTCATTTTGCTAATATGATGCAACATGACACCATAACAAAAACATAAAAAGTAAAAAAAAACATCAAAATTTTGCATTTATATTAATAGAAAAATGTTCATTTGTAAAAATTGTTTGCCTATTATTATATTGACATGGCAAAGAAAAAGTTGATTAAAAAAAAATTCAATTAAAAATTGAATCCATAGATTGGCAGGAAACAAAATGGCTGACATTGCCATTAATATTCAAGAAAAGCAGAACAATCATTTGTAAAAACTGGACTTTCTGAAGCTGATACATTGAGAAAAGCGTTTGCTTCATTTAGATTTAAATTGAGATTTGCAATGGAAACAACAGGACAAATAATTCAGACATTAGCAGTTTTCTAACCCATCATTTTGTTATATAAATTGAAATTTTGAATAATTCAAATCATCTTGCTAACCATATGCAAATTAGGATTCTTTGCTTCATAAAAACAATTTATAACAAATACATTTTTTTTTAACAAAAATTTAAAATATGCAACAAAATGAAATTAAATTCAAAATACATTTGATTAACTGTTTTTTTTTTTTTGTTTTTTTTTTACAATAAAAATTGAACATTTTTAAAATTTATTTTGTTGATGTATATGCTTTGTTTATCAACCTACAGCAAAAAAAGTTATAGGACAGAATGTAATATTGAATTATCAGTGCAATTTTTCTTTTGACAGAAATTCAGGAAAAGAGTTAGCTACCCTTTTTAAATTCATTTCACAAACTAAAAACTTACAACCAGATTGCATACTGGGATTTATTTATTTTCTCATATTTTTAGATGTTTATTTGTAAATGAAAGCAAACTATTTTTCCTGATGTTTCCCATAAAAATTATACTTTTTATTTGATAAATAGAGATGGCACTTTAAGCAAAAAAAAAACAAAAAAACAGTACAATATGAAAGCACCATAAGATGGTATTATAAACAATTTAAGAAAAAAACATCAAAACTTTATACAATTGAGTTTTCAGAGATCATTTTTTAATAAAATGATTGTTGACATCATAAACATGGAAATGCACTGCTACTGTTTGGAATTTTTCCTTTTATGATCACATTTAAATCTCAAATTATTGTCTTCTGAAATCTTGTTTCAGATAATTTCTTGTCTTTCTGGTTTTTTGTTCTATTTAACAAACTTGAGAAGGGCAAAAGTTCATTTAGGACCAGGCAAAATAAAAATGTGTTGAAAGGAGTTTTTTTTTTTTTTTTTTTTTGATATTGTAATTACTATATACGTCCTTGGTAATTGTTATTTTAAAAATCTATTTTTAGAATTGTAATAAAAAACTATGATATATGAAATTGAATTTATACATTTTTTTTCTCTTGAGAATTGATAACAAATATTAAACACTCTAAGTATTTTTTGATTTTTACAATATTAATTTATAATGAGTAATTAACCATGACAATATGAAAATTAAATTTTTGGTTTGGTTTTGGTCTTTTTTTAAAAAAAAAAAAAAAAAAAATATAACAGCACCTATCCAAAATCCAGTCATAAAAATAGGAAAAATTTTTGAGGAAATGATTTTTTGTACATTACCGTTTTCTAAACATATTGTAATGATAAAAGTATGCAGGTGTAGGCTTTAAGAAAGCTTTATTGAACTGAGAATACAAGGTTTGTGTATAGTGTCATTTTATAGTCCCAGTAAACAGAAATAGCTCTCTTAAAGAGGAGAGTAACAAAACAAGGGGAGACCACTCTTGATTATTCATAACACATACCTGAGGCCATGACAAATGTCATAATAAAAAAAAAAAATATTGATTAGTTATCATTTTAGAAGTGGGGTCCTATCCATAAGTGTCAAATTGATCTCTGATTTTTACTGAGTTATTGGATTTATGTTTTGTGGTGGGGAGATACATAAAGATTTCTTTTAAATAAACAAATGGATATATACATTTTTCTTTTCTTTTTTTTTTTTTTTAATTAAAGAACAAAAATTTACATATCAATAAAATTATGTACTTTTAATTTAAGTAAACATAATTATTAACCTGAAATGTTTGTGCATGTGCATTCAAAAAAAATCCCATACTAAAAAAAAAAAACCTTAGATTTTTTTTAAAGTTAAAAAAAAAAAAAAAGGTTAAACAGTTCAAAAATTTAAAATGTGCAGATATCAATGTTAGCACAGCTTGAAACTTGACATTTGTAAATAACAGCTGTGACTTAGCCAAAATCTATAAGTCTGTAAAAGTCAGTGATCGATTTTATACTATATCAATATTATAAACGAGACCCCCACCTAAATCACTAAAAATATCAATATTTTTAAATTCTGATAAGTGTTTGTAGATTAGCATTCTAAAGAATGCTAATCGAAAAAAAATCATTTCCTCTAAAATTTCTTGTTTTATAAGTGGACCAATATATTTAAGTAGTCCCAAAAAATGTCCCACAGTAATTCTTATAGTTTTAAAAAGGTAGTTTTAGAATTTTAATAAAATTTATAGTATATGACACTGAATTTTACGCATTTTTTCTTACTGTAATTAACTCTAACTACATCATATTACTTGTTTTAACTTTTCAAGTAGTATTCAGTTTACTATTAAGTGTTATATTTATTGGTTTTAGTAAAATTTTAAAGATAGGGTTTTAAAACAATACAAATTACTAGGGAAATATACAATAATAGCAATGTCAGAAAAGCATTCTTTTTACACATCAGGTTTATCTCTCTCTCTCTCTCCCTCGCTCTTTCGCTCTCTCTCTCTCTCCCTCGCTCTTTCGCTCTCTCTCTCTCGCTCTTTCGCTCTCTCTCTCTCTCTCCCTCGCTCTTTCGCTCTCTCTCTCTCTCTCCCTCCTCTCTTTTTCCTCGCTCTCTCTCTCTCCCTCGCTCTTCGCTCTCTCTCCTCTCTCTTTCTCTCTCTCTCTCTCCCCTCGCTCTTTCGCTCTCTCTCTCTCCCCTCGCTTTTCTTTCGCTCTCTCTCCCTCCTCTTTCTCTCCTTCTCCCCCTCGCTCTTTTTCTCTCTCTCCCCCGCTCTTTCGTTTTCTTCTCTTTCGCTTTTCGCTCTCTCTCTCCCCTCTTTTTCGCTCTTTTCTTTCTCTCTTTCTTTCTCTCTTTCACTCGCTTTCCTTCTTCTTTCTCTGCTTGAGCCTAGTTTAAACTTTGTCTAAATTAGTTTTACTTCTGTTTAGGACATTTCAGAAATGTAATGTTATAAAAAGTAAGAGGAAAAAAAAAAAGATAAAAGCAAGATATATCAGAGGATAAATTGTGGGGTGTGGACAAAGTAACTGAAACATGAGGTAATGAAATCGATTAAAGTTGTAGAAGAATCAGTTTGTGCTGTGACCATAAATAATAATTTTCTTTTTTCGTACCCCCCCCCAACCCCCGCCCTCCATATCACGATAGATTAAGCATTCCAGATCATGGATAGCTAAAATTAAAAAATTTTTTATTAAATTTTCAAAAAATTAATAGTGATGTCCAGTTTGCTATGTAAATTCATTGTGAATTGATCTCCCTATGGAAGCCAAAACAATATATGTTCAACATGAATAAAATGTAAAGAAATATTTTTTTATGTTATTTAATTTTTTTTTTTTTTTTTTTTTTTTTTTTAATTCATAGTGTTTAATCAAAAGTAATATATGAAAAACAGACACCAAATTATGAATTTAAAATTTGTTTTATATTTTTTTTACATTTTAAGAAATCCCATTGCATAAGCATATATATTTGTTTTGGCTTGCAAGGTGGCAATTTACATTGCACCCCCCCACACACACACACATTATATATGGTTTACAGCGTCTATTCTACTACGTCGTATCTTCTGTGGGAGCTCTCTCAGCAGTCTGTTTTTTATATTTAAATTTCTTGATATCAATAAAATTTTACAAGTGCAGTCAGTTTGCATTGACTTGGCTTTAAATGCAAGCCTATATAGAGATAAAAAGAATTGAGAGAGGCAAAGATATAGGGATACTGAATTTGAGACGATATCTCTCCTAATCTCAAGTCATCAAAAAGATTTAACATTTACATAAGTTTTCAGTTAGTCTGTTTACCAGATGAGCCAAGCCACTAACCAATATTGTCTGTAATTTTGAGAAGTTATCATTAAATTATTTCTTTTTAGACAATTGAATAAGAACATTTAAAAAATTTTTTTTTAATTATCTAATTGATAGTCATTAAGTTACTGCATTTATTACTATTTGCAATAATAAAAAAAGTACTTGCAAGTAATTAATACTCGATTTACATTGTTAGTAATTTTGAGTGTGTATGCTTGTGGCTTATTTACAGGGAGGGGGGTTGTTAAAACGTTCACAGCTTTACCAAGAATGGATTCTCAAATAAGTTCTGATATTTTGGAGAATTGGCGAAACAGAACTTTTCAGTACCCATCTTGTATATGAAGATAACATGAAATCCTATGTATTACTAGAAGTTTCCGTTAGACAAACAGGGAAGGAAAATGATACATTGTGACTATAAGTCGATGATGATGATAAGTCGACGATAAGTTGATGATAATTTTATTACAAGACATTGATATTTAGGGCATCTAGTGAAGACACTGGTTTCTAAAATATAACGAGCTTTCTTTATTCTGTCTTTTCTTATGCTATCTGTAATGTAATCATAGGTTTTATATACTTCTAAAATCCATTATGCCCAGATGGAATAGTTTTATTTTCAAGTAGCTAGAAATAAAAAATTAGATACAAAATACATTAAACCCCCAATTTAGCAGATCTGGTGCTCCTATTTAGAGATTGTTGATAAAATCTGAAGAATCTGCAATGTTATTGGTCCTGATCTGGCATCTCTCCTTCATTTACATTCCCACTGCCATAATGTAGCGTCTCTCTGCGTTTTCTGTAAATACTTTCATGGTAATTGTTCTGATGAGCTCTATGAATTTAAACACAGTAGATTAGATTGGCAGCAAGGTCTCATCATTTTACAGTTGAAATGGTAAGATGTAACCATAAGTTCTATGCTAACAGTTTCTTCTCTCACAATTCTTGTCTCTGGAACTCACTTCTGGCTTCTTGCTTCCCATTTATTTAAATGCAATGTCAATTGTTATATTTTGTCTTAATTCTTTTATTGTCCTTTCTCCTTAATAGTATATTTTTTTCATATTCTCTAGCAATCAGTAGCCTCTTGCATCTTAGTGGCTTTATTGCCTTGCTTGGAGTGAAATGTTTAAAAAAAAAATGGATCTCAGTGTAATGGATTTCAAATTGAATGAAACTTATTACAGGGCTGAGATTAGGAGGAATTTTAAAAAAAATATTGTAAATTCTTTCATTTTTTCTTTTATAATAATCAGTAATTTTAGAATTATGCTTACAATAAATCTTGTGAGAATATTGGTCAAAAAAATCTTCTAATCAAAAAAAGTGAACCGATATTACATGTTATAATTTAATCATTTTATATTGTACAACATTATCTGCTGTATTAAATCATCTACGATCATAATCAATAGTGATAGAATTAAAAACATTAGGAGTAGATAGCTGAATAAGGTTGGCTAAGTTTTACATGCTCATATTTCAGATAGCAAAGACTTAAATTTAAAGCTAAGCATCACTTGCATTATTTACATTATTCAGACAGTTATCCACATCTTTATTACCATATTCACAACATTTCGGCCATTGTACACTCCGGCCTTCTTCAGGTGATTGGAACTTCGAACCAAATGCTTTATTTCATCCACTGCAGTAGATTGTTTTAGTTCTACATGTCATTCCTTTGTCTTTATCCACATAATGGAACAAAGTCCCAGTGGATAAAGATGTTAGTTAGATCCAGTGACTAGACCCAAGGAGTTATGAGTTCAATACCATACCACAGCAGTGGTGAACCAAAACTTGGAGAGTTGAGTTAAAGGGAAATAACTGAGACATCCAGAAGAGGCATGGCATGTGGAACTGGAACAATCTACCCCAGTGGACGAAATAAAGGGTTTGGGTCGAAATTCCAGTCACTTGAAGACCGGAGTGTACAACAGCCGAAATGTTGTGAATATGGTAATAAAGATGTGGATAACTGTCTGAATAATGCAAGTAATCCTAATACCTCATCTCAGAGATATAGACAGATACTAAGTGTCCCTGTATCTTTAAAATTGTAATCAGCATTTGTTGTTTTTATAGACCACCTACTTATGAGATTCCATCAATAAAACCATTATTATTCTAATGAAAGCTTTTTTTAAAGGATGAAACCTGAGTCTCTTTCTGGTTCATCATTTCATATATTCATTATAAGTCTGACATATACATTTGTATATGAACTAAAATACATGAAAACAATTGGGTGTTTTTAAATTTATTTTCTTAACATTTTGCTCTCAATGAGCATTCTTAAAAGAACTGAAAAAAATCTAAGAAAAAAAAATCATTACCATGGCAACCCTGCTACTTAAAAATGATTGGTCAATTTGAAACATTTTAACAGTTAATAAAATTTAAAAGTAAATACCTATAAAACAATATGCATGTAAATTCTTAGATTTTTTTCAGTTGATTTGTGAATGCTCATCAAGAGCAAAACGTTAATAAGAAAAAATTGAAAAACAACCAACTGGTTTTCACATATTCCATCTTTGTTTAGATATTTTATATCAAACATTTATCAGATTTGCATATATATTCTACATTGTATTAACATAAAAATTAAAAAGTGAAAAGAAATATGGTCTTCCAAGTTAGATTAAGTTTTAATAGAATTTCAATATGAACAAATGATCATTTCTTTTTAGTTTGTTAAAGCAAGAGTTTACTGTAGTAAGGAAAAGGTAGGTATATTGTTTCTTAAAAATTTGCTGAAAAAAAGTTTTTTAGTTAATAGTTTAATTTTTTTTTTTTTTTTTTTTGCATTCTAATTATAAAAGTAATATATTAAAAGATCATACTAATTTTAGCTAGTAAATTTAAATTTGGAATGTTTAGAAATAGTAAAAAGTTTGGACATTTATCCGCATGGATTTAGTTTTTCTTGTTTCTTGTCTATATCTGTTATGGTAATTTACCCACACACACATGCACTCTCCCAGCTATAAATAGGAGCAGGTACTGCCTTTTGGAGAGGGAAGTTTCCAGCAATTAGCTCTGCCAGTCAGACCGAACGTTCTGGCTGTAACACTCTCATTATATATGTTTGTATTACTATTTCGGTTAATATATTTAACTCAATTCCTCTCTTTGTGTCTTTATTTGTGGCGCTAACAATATCTGAACTGTTAGATGGCTGTCCTCTCTATCTTTTAATGGTTTGGTAAACAATTTTTTATTTGGTTCTCTGAATCATGATGGTCTCACTCCTGTCAGATCCAGTGACTTCCAAAGAGAATTTCAGAATTTATAACTGTCAATTCTTCCTGGTAATGCAAGTGTCCTTCCACTGAGCTGAGCATATCTCTGTAAAACCCAAATTCACAAACTCAATGAAGAGATAGTCACATCAGCGAGAAGAACTGACAGTTATATTGGTTGAGTGTCCATTATTGAGCCTTGACAGGTACAGAATGGAAACAACATAACCTCAGATGAACAAATATAATTCCGTTTGACATTCTTGGAATGATACAGAATGCAGTAGACACCGAAGGGAAGTCAGAGGTTACAGCAGCCACAATGTTGCAATAAAGATGACCAAGATGAAAGTATTAGTAATAGTAATGATACCATGTCTCAGAAATTCAGCTAAAATTTAAAAAAAAAAACCCAAAACAAAAAAAAAACTTTTATTTTAACTTTGCTCATGATGAAGTTGCAAATAAATAAAAAATAACTGTTTAACAGATTGCGACAGCTATTAGGGAGATGTGATTAAATATACTTTAATGTTTAAAAAAAATTTATTCAGTATTATTGTTTAGGTAATAAACATTATAACATAGCTATATTGTGGAAAGGAGATACAGTGAAGTAATGTATAGTGGCTAGGATTGAGGAATCGGAGAGCCAAGTTTGAATTCCAGTCGGACCCATTACATTCAGTTACATGCTAATACCCTTCGAAAAGGTATGAATCATCTTTTTCTCCCTCCAGCTATGGGTAAATAGCAGGACAGACCAGGTTCTATAGCCTTGGGTGGCAACTAGTATAGGAGAAAAAAAAACTCTGAATTCAAGACCAGCCT